ATATGCGCGCGCTTGTCTGTCTCACAGTGCAGAGGTGCAGGGTTTGATTCCCAGCTCTGGCCTTCCTATGTGGAATTTGCATGTTCTCCCCGTGCCTGTGTGGGTGTTCTCTGGGTTCTCCGGTTTCCTCCCACATTCCAAAAACATGTATGGCAGGTTAATGAAACACTTGAAATTGTCCCCTTGGTGTGAGTGTGGTTGTTCGTCTATGTGTGCCCTGTGATTGGCTGGCAACAAGTTCAGGGTGTCCCCCACCTACTGACCGAAAACACCTAGGATGAGCTCGAATTGAAGTGCAAAACCATGACCTCTGCACTGTGAGGTCGACGCGTTAACCACTGGCCCACCGTGCCGCCTATATGTAAAGTATATATGTACATACATATATACTTTGTAAATACCCTCTTAGTTTCATAATACAGTGTAGACATGACCAGTTTATCTGTTTAAAGATGCATTTGGAGCAACTATTATTTTCTGTGACTGCATATTAAGATTTTTTTGTTTGTTATTATCGGTTGATACGACTGTACATGACAAATATTTTCATTTCAGATGTAATAAATAGATTTGTTTAACTCTAGCTTTTGCACAAAGCATCAGTTTGAAACAGATTACACACATTTTATTGTCAAATGAATTGTGTAATTTGTTTCGGATTGTCACAAGGGATGGAGTCCTAATTTGTGTCCGAAGGTGTGACATAAAATATAATCTCTCTCACCAGGGATCCCAATGTGGAAAAATATAGATCAATCCAGATCGGCAGTCCTACTTTTTCGAGCAAGCTGCTGCCATTCAGCGGTGCTGTGGAATGCCTCTTCGAGATGGGCTTTGAGGAGGTAAACAGTTTTCTTGCTTCTTAATAAGTAACTGTTGGTATTTGCACTCGTAGCTTTTAATTCAAATGCCTCATTCATAAGCCTGACTGTCACAGATACAGTACTTGGATTTCAGTCATGCGAGGCTTGAATTGGGACTGACTTCCACATCTCAGCCCTCCTGAGACAAATCAGTGAGCCCAACATTTGGAAAATTACCAGAGTACAAAACAAAATTGGTTCTTAAAATTGGGTTATTAAGAGGTTAAGTTCGTCAAGGAGCCGCATGTCCACCTTTTTAGAAAGTTAACACTATCTCGTGCCAGGGTCATACATTTTGGTTGCTTTATTTTTCCTTCATACTATTGTGTACTCATTCTATGCTACTTTTTCCATCATAGTTTTCTTATCATGTATTCCTCCCAATTCCCATGGAGATTTAGAGAAGAATATGCAATTCATAAAACCACGAGGTGCACTGTTTGCCTCTGTGTCAATAAATTTTAAATCTCTAAGCTTCAAAAACAAACTCCAAACTTTAGCAGCATTTTAATTAATGCAGATTTTGATTTTCTTTTTTTCAGCTGTTTAAGCTTTTTCGATTTCATAAATTAAAAAACAAAAGAGATCATGCCCCTAGTGGTCGCGGAGTGTACTGCAGGTAGTAACTTTCAGCCATTAATTAATGAATTTTCCCCCCTTATCGTTACACTTGTTAAAAATGTGTTTGCCACATCTATTTTTAGATCTGTACGGTGGAATCGACTCTGTTGCCTCAGTTTCACTTCTTATTTCAGTCTTTATGACATGCATGGCGGGATAACTCATCTTTGACAAACTCAAAAATGTTGAAAGCTAGTTGCATCATTTATAAGATAAGATAAGACATCCTTTATTAGTCTCACAATGGAGAAATTCCCAATTCACAGCAGCAAAGTTATGAAAGGAAGAAGTCGAAGAACAAAATATAGGAGCTGCTGGAAAGGCAGTCACTCTCGCGGCGCCATCTTGAAGTCAAAATAACAAAATAGCACAACACAACACATAAGACACAGACAGTCGTGCAATCTTAATCACTTTTCCTGCATACATTTTGTCATTTGAAGCAGTTATAGATGAAAGAGGAGAGGATCAAAGTGTCCTTTCACCAGTGGATCAGAGACGTCATGCTGAAAATGTGCACACGTCTGCTCCAAGCTCAGTTTTGAAAATAAACATGATGCTGTAGTGTCCATTGACGAAAAGAGATTGGCTCACATCTCCTGTCCCACATAATCCGCTTCAACTCCAAGCTGCGACTCCCAGTTCCACATCCGCATCGGCGCTCTGCGCTGACGCTCCTTTCTTCTCATCGTCGGCTCCTCAAGCCTTGCATCCATCCAGCCGCACACTGTCATCAGCACTGATCTTTCCGCTGAACAAAGTGGGGCTGTGTAAAATGCTGCCCATGACAGGTGCAAAAAAAACCCACAAGCGCCCCAGAGCTGTCCAGCAATGACAGTCAAATGGCATCGACATTCTTCCCAATCAAAATCTGTGCTGGTACAGGCGTGCTGCCGAGAAGGCGCAACCACCAAGCACCAGGTCTCCTCCTTGATGAATGTCGTGGCCAAAAAATGCTGA